AATTTCAGCAGCACAGTGGTTCAAATCTTGTCATGGAGTTGTCTCTGAAAATCACTTGCATATTTATATTGGTCCTGAGATGATCTTACTCTGTCCAGAAACACTTACAGCCACTTCTGCTTTATTCATAGCTGGAATATGTCTTAGTGCAAATAATGTGGGTCCTTTTTTTTCCCCTAAAAGAACAGAACCTTTAAAGAGAGTCAAAGAGATATTTTGCAAAAAGACTTCTTTAAGTCATTCTTCAGTGTTCTTCTGGTGATCACTTGAAATTTGGGGGATCGTTGTAGAAGTATACCTCAGTCCTTTCTAGGATAATCGCTGTCCTTTGATTATCACCAGCAGCTTGTCTTTTGCAACAGATCTTGGTGGTGTCTGAAGGAGAAAAATGAGTTACTTGGTTTTGAAGTTAAGGGTGTCAGCGACTGTTAGTTTCAGCTGGGGTAAGACAGCACTTGTGTGAAGGAGAGTTTTTGCTCTCCAGCCATGGGTGTGCTGGCTTCTTTCATGGTGGGAATGGAGCTGTTTATGCCATTACTTATGGGCTGGGTGGGGAGGAGAGACCTGAGCTAGTTAGTTAAAACTAACCCAGCAAAAAATCATTATAAAAACCATCGTGGTGCATAACGGAGACTGTGCTGACAGATAGAGCAGAGCAGGGGTCGACTGGGGCAAAAGTGACTGCTTGAAAGCAGGGGAATGGGAGGGCCCATGGGACAGTTCTGAGTTACCCTGGCCTGAAATAAGTTGTGAAACTGTGCTGTGAAGTTTCGAATGCACTTCATTTATACCTTGAAATCTCTACTTTTAAGATTTAAAGGTTATGTTCTCAAAAGAAACAGAACATCTGAAGTTTTTTAAAGCATCATTTTGAATTTGTCAGCTCTGTATCCAGAAAGATTTTGCAACGAAGATGCAATACAAGCCTTTTAGTGTCTACTCAGAACGGGAAAATACCAAACATCAGTGGTGCAGAGAAGATGACAAAAGAGTGAAATTGTCTTTTGCTTATAGTATTTTTGGCTGAGGGTGTTCCTGTTACTAGGCTTGCATATTAATTGGATTGTAAACCTTTGTATTGCTTGTAAAGTGTTTTGTAAGGAATTTAGGGAAATGCTAGTTCTTTCAAACTTTTTCCAAAGACGAATACCACTTTTGTCTAGTTTCCACTCTTATGCCCATTCACAAGCCAGGGTTAATATGCCTTCATTGTAAGTTTAGTATAATAACCAGTAAATCTGCCTTCTGAACTTACAACATGCTTATTCTTATCCTTCTGGTAACTCCAATTCTCATTATTTCAGTCCATATGCTCTTCTTCCCCCTGTGCTCTGAGAACAGGGAGATCTAGAAAATCAATTTAACTCCAAGGTCAAAAAATGAATGTTCTGAGCTGAAGAGCTCTTTTCAGCAGGGGTTGTTGCAGCATTAGGTTGAAATTTTTGAAGTTTCACTGCCTAAAAGTGAACAGACCTTACTGCAGGCTCTATGAAGTGAATCTGAGTTCAGGTGGACAGACATTGCATGTAAACTACAGTAGAAACAAAGGAGAAGCTCTAGACCTTTTATGGCCAGTCAGTAAAAGAGGGGGAAAAAACCCCAAATGAACCCTACAAAACCTATAAAATGAAAAGGTAGCACTTTCCCTTGTGGAATCTACAAGCAAATTCCCTAGTTTTTGTTGTCATTGAAGTAGAAAGAACTTTAACAACAACAAAAAAAAATTTAAGGCAGCTATGAAGAAACATTTTCACAGAAGTTTCTTCATTTTTAACCTAATCGTGTGAAGCATGACCCATGTCCTCTGATTTTTAAATTTTTTTTACATTTTCGCATGCTTTTCAAATCTTGGTAAAATGGATTATATATGTCTAAGTATGCCTTACACCAGATTGCCATGAAACACTCATAAAATACAGATTCACAGATGGCAGCTCTTGCAGGTAAAGGGGTTTGTCCAGATACAGTGCCAAAGTGAGACGTGAGCAGCAATTGGATTGTCTGATGTCTGAAGCATACAATTGCTCTTGTATATAAAAAGAAGCTGTATCTGTGCCAATAATGTATTAAGAGATGAAATTTATTTACTGTCTTAATTACATGAGGAAGATCTGCATTTGCAGATGGTAATAAATTCATTCAGCATTTGCACTAGCACACCACGTCATCTTTTAAGATCTGGTATCATTGATGCAGACTAGCTGAAGCAAACTGCTGATGAAGAGTCTGGTTGGTGTTTTCAGAATTATTTTTTTGCTGCCTTAACTGTGAAGCCAAATGGATGTGAATTTCTAGAGACTTTTAAGATGTGCTATTTAGTTTTTGTGGTAGAAGTAACAAACATGAGTTTCCAGAGACTGTAAAGTTTTCCTGGGCAACAAAGCAGGATCACCTGTGCTCTTTTATGACTAGTTGAGGCAGACACAAGCCAAGGTGAAGGGAAGGAGGAGAGTGAAACTAGGACATGCTGTGTTGTTACATTTTGGGAGGATCTTGCTCTTAAGTGCAAATTGCACTTGAAAAAATTGAAAGCTTTATGTCACCATTGAAGAATTTCAGAAATTGAGATGCCTTCTTCATAATGCAAAGGGATTTCTGTGAGACAGGTCTAAGATTCAGGAGACCAATGAGGTTGAGGAATTTGGCTTGACAAAAGCATAAGGGTTTAGTGGGAACAAATGTATCTCTGCAACCAGAAGTGATGGTTGTTGGTTTGTTTTTTTGTTGCACCCTTGTGATCATTGCAGTAGAGATAGTACTTCATCTTTCCAGCTGCCTGGGAGCTTCCATTGCCAAAGACACTTAGGCAGTTTCTAGTGTTCTAAATTCTTGAAATCCAACCACAGATAACTTGAACATATGGATTACAGTGGTATTCATCCATCTGTTTCTGTAAGGTATCCTTAAAGAAGTTGTTGATAGACTGGTTATTTTTTAGCCCTTTTTATACAATGTTTATACTTGATGATTGACAGAATCAGCTTCAATTAATAAACAAGTTCTTATTGCAAAAATATTTGATATCCTTTGATATCCTCAGAAAGACTAGACATGAAGTAAATGTCACAGAACATGCAGAAAATTAAGACTTTGAATAGCTAAAGTATGAAAATATCTTGAGTTTTTTGCAAGCTCATATTTAGCATTCTTACTGTGGCTTGACAAATTTTTTTTCTGCAGGAAGCTTGCTTTTCTTATAACTGAAATGCAGATGAGTATTTCACTCTTCAAAATCTGTGTATTTTGGTCTGACTTTCCATTTTAATATTGTAGAAGTTTATCTAAATTGAGAAGTATGGAGCCTTTTTTTACTGATGCCACCACATATTTGTAAATATTCCTTCCCCTTCTTCATGCACCACGTCATACTTGTCTGTCAAAGGTTAGATTTGTTATTTCAGGTCATTCTTTAAAGCTTGCTTTTTTCACATGTTTTTCCTTTCCTTCTTTTGGGGGTATAAAAGGTCATTTCTAGTTAACCTGCTATGAGTATCTCACATTTGTTGCTTTTTGAAGTTTGTTATGCACTCATCACTTCCAGTGGGTGAATTTTACATGAAATAATTTCAATTCAACAATCATTTGGGAATCTATGTATGCCTTTAGGTGGGAAAGGAGGGGAAATATATGCACACCACCCTTGGAAGTAATAATGAGGATAGTGGCCAAGGAAGCAAAAACTGGGAGCCTTGGAATTTTTGCTGGTGGTTCAGGAAAGAAGAATCTACCTGGTAGCTTAATATCTGAGGTTTCTTTTCTAGAAGGCTTTATTGACTCAGCAGGGGAAAGAAACTATGCTCTCAGAGACTTTGGCTCTAGAAAGGGCTGTTGTTCTGTGCAGGCTGTGTTCCCCTTCAAAGTGCAATCAAAATCTTCCCAGTCATCGTTTGGCTCCATGAGGTCTTCCTGTCCTCTTTGCCCTCCTGCCAGAGTTCCCCAAACTGCAAAGACACAGTCATTGTAATGAAAAGCATGAAATATAAAATGGGAACTTAACATCGGCAAACTTCACATTTATCTCTGCTGAGGTGTATGCACCACCACTTCTGCAATGATGTAACTGTTAGGACTGTTCTGAGGAGAGGAGCTCAAGGATAGTTTGGTTAGTGAGATTCAAGCTAAAATAGTGATTTTAGGAAACTTCATTACTTTCTCAAATACAGGTGAAAAACTGACATAATACAATGGTGAAATATACCAGTTTGAGATTGTGGTTTTTCTGACTGTAGACCTAAAGTATGGGTTCAGTTATGAGATACTCTGCATGTGTATTGCACTAGTGCTGTAAAAATGTTACAGCTGCCTGTTTGCTGTCTCATGAAGCTGTGGTCAACTGTAGAGAGGAGAACTTTGTTTTGTGTCCAGCATGTTGGATGTAGCGTCAGCAGGACTGAATTTCATTACCAGGCTTTCTGTTTGGTTTCTAATAAATTAACCTACTAAGCCATCAAAGAGCTGGGACTATCAAAATATGGAGGCTAAAATCCAGTAACAAATATGAGACGCTCAATTATTTTCAACCAGAAGGACACGTAAGTATGTAGGAAAGTGAGAGTTTAAACAGCCTGTTTCACTTCATATATCAGGGGTTTTAATCCAAGGAGAATGAGCAAGTATAGGAATGTAAGCAGACAAAAAGAATGAATGAACACGTAGAAGTGGAAAAGGGCAAAGAAAAGGTAGTTTCTATAAAAGGTTATTTTTGATAGAGGATGTGGTCTGATGCTTGAGCAGTTTCTCTCAAGGAATTTATCCCTGAAACCCATTGTACGGTAAAGAGCAGTATGAGTTTTTTTTGTCTAAAGGCATTGACAGATGTGATGGATCTTACTCTTCTCATAGAGAACTGGTGCATAAAGGGTTCAGTGTTACATTTTGAGTTGTGTTATTTGTGGCACTAATAGCTTTTCAGTTTTTCAAAACAGCTTGTGTGTATAACTTTATAGCTCCCAGAATCCTATTGCCAATAAAATTTAACAGAGTTTCTTTGATCATTCTAGAGGTGTATTTGATGCTTCCCTCAAAATGGCTGGGTTCTATGGACTCTACACTTGGCTGACTCACACTATATTTGGGATTAACATAGTCTTCATACCATCTGGTAAGAATTTGAACAACTGTAATGTATTTGTAAATAACACTGCATAATTATTTATTGTACAAAATCAGAAGGATTGAATGTTGCTGATAAGCTTAGTCTGGTCTTAAGAGAATATGGCCATGGGTTGGGTGAAGAGAAGTCCCTGATTGCTGTCTTACCTCTGAGTCTTGCCTTCTTCTGTTTTCACAACACATTCCCTGCCAGCTATTTTACTCCTTCTGTCTGTTTATTTTGCTGGACGAAATTCATTCTCCCTTTTATTCAGTCCAAGACTTTCCAGGTTTTAACTTCATTCTGCCTGTCTTGGCTCCCGTTTCTTTCATAGCTGACAGGTGCTGATTTTTCAAGATGCCTAAATGCAGGAAGATGTAGTATGATGAAAATGCATGATAGAGGCGTGCTGCGTATTCTCAGTACTGTTGCCTGACTGTATTACCAGCCTCTGGTTTTCTTTTATTCTCTAATCTGAGCTTTGGAAATGGCTGAACAGTTTTCTCACTGATAAACCTTCTCCCCTGTTCCTCTTCTGCTCTAAAAAGAATGACAATAACAGTAATTTTAAAATGTTCATTATTTGTGTAATCAGAAGCGTGTACACCTGTGTGTATATTGCATACATAAATACAAGTCATGAAGTTTGTTTGCCTGGTTTCTCGTCATTGTGGTTGATTGCAGGAGAAAGTTAGAGTGAGACTTGGGTTCATGTGCTTTCTTACACACAGTTGCTGATTTGAAGTTATATTAAGGTTCGAAATGTCCATGATTGGTATAACTTCACATTTTTCTGAATTGGTGCCTCTTCTGGAAGTAACTCCTTATGAGTGTCAGTTGGTGAAGCTTTGCTGTATGGGAAATAGTGTCATGTTCCTGCACCACAGCTATAAAACACCGAGAGCCTCATGTGGCACTTCTTCAGCGTCTTATTTACAACAGTTGATAGAAGTGGGACTTACTAGTGCAGCTAAAGTGTCTGAATTTAACTGTCAGTATATTTGTGAAATGTGTTCTGCTGGTCTCTTTCTCACTTCTGCTTTTGTGTGCCCTAGCATTAGCAGCAATCCTTGGAGCAGTGCCGTTTCTGGGGACATACTGGGCAGCAGTCCCTGCAGTCCTAGATTTGTGGCTTGTGCAAGGACAGGGATGCAAAGCCATTTTGCTCTTGGTTTTTCACCTTTTGCCAACCTATTTTGTAGATACAGCAATTTATTCAGATATATCAGGGTGAGTACATTGAAGATTTTTTTAAAGTTAACATTGTAAAAATGATTGATGATTACTGATGCCTTTAATTAAACTCATTTTCCTGAAGCATGCAAAACAGTGTCTTCAAGCTTAGCAATAGGTGTAGTGCTATCACCTCAAAGTAAGATCTCTTACTGGCCTAAGTGCCTTATTTTCCCAGGGCTCTTTTCTGTGAACTTTGGGACTTCAGAGATCTTGAAATCAACATCAGCAAAGTGAACTGTTCCAAGTTACAATTAGTCTAACTTTTCCATTTATCTGATGACAGACAAAGGTGTGTAGCATTTTTCTTCTCATCCCCTAATGCCAGATGATGATGCAGAACAAACAAAACCATAAGCTGGTGAGGGACCTGAAAAAAACCCTTTAATTTTCAGAATGGATTGTGAGAATTTCGAGTGCAACTGAAATGTTCACCAACATTTTCTGCAGCTGAAATACCTAGTGCATCCCTTGATGCAATTCATACTAGAAGATAAAGCAGCACAGTTTAACAGAGCTGGCAAAGATATGAGCTGTCAAGTTTCATATGTACAAGGCATGTTCACAACAACATGTAATTCTCTAGTTACTTCCTCTAGTTACTGCTTCAGTCTTGATAATCAGAAGCAAGTAAACTAGTCTGAATCATGGTCCAGACTTAGTTACATGCTGGTTGTGCTGATTTTTATTACAGGAGAGTTATTGTAGAATAAGGACATAAAGTGTTTTGGTTCTGTGTTGTTAGAAATTAATATTTTTGTTCACCAAATATAATTACATTGAACAGAGAGTACCTAATGATAATGTGCCCAATATTAATACTCATTTTAATTGACTGTGACTAGTTATTTTGCATGAATTAAAGGTAACAAGTGAAGTATAATCAAATTACGTATTTTTTCCACCAGTAAATCATGGTTAAATTTAAGGCTAGGAGCTATTTAACCAGACAATAATTCTACTTACTAGAATACATTTTTTGACGGTAGGGGATGCAGGCTCTGTTTACTGTCCAGAAAATATATGTGGCAGGAATAGATTTTCTGACAGTGGAGCCAAATCGTATTCTTCCCATTAAATAGAACAGTAAGCATCATGCTGTCTTGCAGATTAGATTAAACCTATTTGAAATAGCTGTAATTAGGTTAGGCAGGGTTTTCTAAATGCATTAACTTTATACTGTAGTCCTATTTCATCAGGTGATATGTTGTTTAATTTAGCAAACTAGCCAGAAGAACATTTAAACTGATGCAAATGCTGGTAAAAAATGATTTGAAGTTTCCAAAGGTTCAGAAATGAAGCATGTGTCTACTGTGGAGAAATGTAAAACTTTTAAGGTCAAGCTTGTCCTCTCACAGAAACAATCTGGCTCTGACAGTAGGTTAAATTTGATCTAGGTGAGATGTGATTGAGGTGTGTATGATTGAATGGGTCATGTTGCATGGTCTCATCTTGCACATGATTGTGATAAAGGCAAAGACTTCAAATGTGGGAGATGAGTAGGAGTCAGGGCCAGAGTAGAAACCTGACAGAAGCTGCTGGAGCTCTGAACTGACTAGGTGTATTATCACTGCATTACACTCAGACTTTAGAGGAGCTTCCTGAAAGTTGCGTGCTAAGTATCAGCTGTGGTTTTTCTTACATAATTCCATATGCCATCCTTATTTTAGCTATAAGGAGTGAAGCATGATGAGCAGGTTTTGTGTAAATGCTGTTGGAGGATTCACATTTTGCACTGAAACTGAGACGTGTTATATAAAAATGGCATGGTTTGCTTACTGCCATAATAGCTCTTATCAAAAGCTCCACTGGCCCCAACTTTCCAGTAAATATTAATAAGTTTGTTAAAATCTGGTGTTGTTTTCCATCTGAAAACATTAGAAACTAATGACAACAAGCACTCAATCTGAGAGGCTGTTATACACCAAAATGAGAAGACATGGCTGTATAGAGACTGTATACTAACTGTTCTTTGAAAGATGCAGTGCAAGTTGCTATCATTGCATAAATTCATGTCTTTGCTTAGAGGTGCTCATGGTACATGTTGCTAATTGTGATAGAATCCAACAATTCTTGACCATAAAGCATGAAAAGTCTTTGCAATCAACCATCTTTCTATTCTCAAAATGGAAATTTCCTGCCATTAACTCCTTCAGACATGCTTCAGCAGATGTCCATAAAATAAGTACTCCATTGTGGGTGTTTCCAGCGTTACATGCTGCAATAGTGTTTGATCTGTTGTGCAAACACATCGCAGAATACAGCTCGGAACATTTGTACAGCCATTCAAGCAGCAGTTTATAATGTAAACACGGTATCTGTAGCTAGCTGTGTCATTTTCTAAGCTTAATAGAACTTTAATTCACATTTTGCAATTGATAATATTGTGTTCATTCTTCTTGATTGAATTCTGTTCTTCATTGCCAGAGGTGGTCATCCTTACCTGACAGGCCTTGCGGTAGCTGGTGGAGCATATTACCTGGGGCTGGAAGGAGCCATTATAGGACCAATTCTACTCTGCATACTTGTGGTTGCTTCCAACATATATAGTGCCATGTTGGTGAGTCCAACAAATTCAGTGCCCACTCCATCACAAGCAGCATCGCCATTACAGATCTACCGGTGAGTTACAAATGCCTTACTCGTATGCATAATGTTTCTACACACATCAGTGTGTGTATGCACAGAGAGTGAGTGCATGAGTTTTATACAGAAGTGTGCATTCCCATCTCTGTGAGTATTGGAGTCTTTGGAGAGGATTCAGCTATCCTATATTCTAGAAAAAAATATTATGGTAAAGTCAAACATACACCGGGACTTGTCTACTTGAAATGTTTGTTTAGTGACTCTCAGCTTCTTACAGAAAAGGCTCTTCTGCTGTTATTTTCTGTTACTGTTAACACTGTTATTATTCCCTGATAATACCTTTGTGTCCTAAAATTTATATGTTGCTGATGTGCTAGGAGATGATTTAGCATCCTTTTTTCTGTACGAAACTATTATTCGTGGATATCTAATAGAGCTCATTGTCCTCAATATTAGGCCTGCCTGAAAATACTGCATTTTTATGTGTTAATGTACAATACTGCAAATATAAATAAACATACCTAGATTTAAAAGATGGGATAATATTATATGCTGTCATTCTTTTAAAAGTATGATCCTGATTAATGTCATTGTTGAAGTTACCCAATGTGAAATATAGAAATGTGTCTTTAAACTCTAAACTCTACAGTTAAGGAATGGGATGAATAAACTCCTAACTGAATAACTAATTAGAGCTGGGAATCACATTGTGATGGTATTAATGTCAGTAGCCATTTTAATGGCTCTACTATCTTGTTAAATTATATAGGCCAGCTCATTATGCATATATCTTAAAGAGGATTCTCTGCTTGTCAGAAATAATCCTTTGCTTTATTCACATGAATAATGTTGTCATCTTTCATCTGGGTAACTTAGGAGAAAAACCACTAATTGGACCTGTCTGTAGTTTCTGACTTGAGTAAGTTATGTTCCAAGTCTTACCCTGTGTGCCATAGGCAGAGCTTCCCACACTACACACAAGAATCTGCATATGTGTTTGTTTCATGTTGGCTTTGTCGGAAACTATTATTTGTAACCATTCAACAGATCTGTGTCTTACTTTTCACTTCTCTTTTCCTTCCCCCTCTCCTGCCCCCCAAGGTCACCCAGAGAGAGTTCTGAAGAGATGAAAATGGCTGCAGAGTGATGAAGGTGCTGGGCTGCACCTATACAACATGAGGGAACCACTATCTTCTGTCTTGAGCTCACAACAGCCAAGGCCTCCTGTCCCTTTCCAGCTGTGCCTGGGGCAGCTCGCAGGGAAGCATAGTTTGGGTTTTAGGAGAAAGCACTTCTCGAACATGTGCTGGCCTTACATTGTTGTGCACTTTGCCTCTTCAAGAAGGAATGTCTACTTCCCATGGCTTTGCATACCAACACACAGTTCAACTACCTTGTTGAAGACCTTGAAGACTTTCTGTCTTCATAAAAAGAATATTTAAGAGGACAAGTAAATCCACTGGAGTCATCTTATCTGCTGAAATTACTAACCTGGCTTTTATTTATTTGGGTTATTTGTCTTATTCAATTGTAGTAACTTTAAAGAAAGCTGTAATTCCAAAATATTTATTTTTAGTTAATCCAGTGGCAAAAATGTGTAAACCACTCATTGTGAAATGAAGGTACAATGTAATTATTTGCTGCTTCTCAAAGTATTTCTTTATAGGTTTCAGCCAACATCTGTAACACATAGTAACACTTAACTGTTATCCTCTAATTTGCACTGAAATTTAATGTTGTTGGAGACTGGTATTTCTAATATCTTTCTGAAATGAGGAGAAATGCAAATTGTTAAATGTGGGTTTTCCTCTTACTGAAATAGGAGGACTTGTTTCAATAGCTTAAATCTTGCCATCATGTGCAGCGAAATCTGATAGTATTTTGCTATTTACCCACCCTCCCAGTGGAGTCATCTTGTCAACTAAATTTAATCAAAGGCCTTAAGTGTTTTCAGGCAGTAGTAATGTACGATGGTCACGTCTGCTTCCAGTAATAGAGAGAACTTGAATGGGGATTGTTTAATGTTAAATGGCTGAGTTCAATTAACTTTTCAAACAAATTTTATTTCCAGAGAGGAAGGGGAAGGAATATGGACTTTGGTTTAGTTTACCTTGGGGTTTTTTCACCTGTAAGCCTCTGGCCAAATATCTTAATAAGATATATATCTTAATATATTAAGGTATATCTTATTAATAAACAGATTTCTTAAATTTCTGAAGTCATGTATTGCCTCACTCACAGCATCAAATTCCTCTAGTGTTTTTTCTTCCATACATAATTTTGCTTAAATGGCAGTTCTGATGACATTTAAGGCCTTTTGTGTTGATTGTTGATATATTTGGACACAATGGATCTTTATAAATGGATCCTTTTTATCAATGGGAAGTGGGTTTTTTGGTAGATATTTCATACTTGCACAGCTTTTCCACAAAAACAATGAGGCCCTGGGTACAAAGTAGCAGATGCACATGCTTGACCAAAGAACCACTGTTCAGTTGCTAGTAAGTTCTCTTGAATTTATTTCAGAGTTTAATTGGTGATGAGCTGTACAACATACAGGCACGCCTTGTATTTATTGCTGACAGTAATGCAACATTTGAAACAAAAATCTGCTCTTACCAAGGGATAAGGATATCCATGTACAAACAGCTCTCAGTAAGTAAGATACCTGTTTTACATGAGTTGCAGGAGTGCTGATTTATTTGGAAGGTTTATTTTCATGACATTGTATGTATTTTTACATTTCTAAAAATACATTGCTATTTATCAAACACATTTATTAATATATGGGTCCCTTTTCCGGGTTAAGTAAAAATGGCCTGTCCACCTTGGTCAAAAGCAGTAGATTTTGTCCTAGTTGGTAAAATGTGACACGTCATGAGATGCTGTCCCTGTCAACTAACCCACAGGATCTTTACTGGGTTGTGGCACCAAGTGTTCAAGTGTCATCATAGCCCTTCAGTGTCTACTTTCCCCACCATCCTTTATTGAAATAATTAATCAGCTACATTACAGATGTTATGAACACTGAGGTTGGAGACTACAATCTATTTGGAATGGTTCAGTAGGACGGGCCTTACTGGCAAATATATGTACAATGTCTATGGAAGTAAAAAGTGGCCTGGAAGCCTGGGGACGGGCAGTCCTTTTCTGCTGGGAGCAAGAGAGTCCCAGGGTTCTCACCAGTTCGGAGTTGCCCTGATACCATTTCCCACGTGCACCGATGGGTAAGCCGAAAAACTTGATTTCCGAAGCATTCGTTGTTTCCGGGATCTGGGGTCAAAGATGTTGATCTTTTCTTTTGCCGCCTCTTCCACGGTGCAGTCCTTATTCTCATATCTTACTGTGATGTCAACCACCAACACCTGGTTTTCTTTCACAAAAAACAGGTCCAGCTTATGCAGATTTGTTTGCGTGGCCGTCAGTATGTACGTGAGACGAATTGTGCAGAGCATTTTGTCATATCTGGTGTTTGGTCAATTCAATGTGAGGGTAGTATAAGCCAGACAGTACACCCTCTAGTGCTGTCGAGCTGCACTCAACTTCACCCCGTGGGCCAGGCTCTGGGTAATAAAATCTTTTAGTCTGATTACCATGGATTTATTTCACCTTGTTAGGTACTATCGCTGGTTGGTGAAGCCAGGCAGTAGGGCAGGAGAAATCATAACCCAGTTGACTGGGGCAGAGGCTGACTCTGTTACCACAAGGGTTTCTGGTGGGACCACGAGGAGGTGCGATCTCTGCAGCAAAGCCTAGTTAGCAACTGTGGTCCTGTCTTAAGAGAGTCATAGTTACTCCTGCATGTGATTGGAAAGTACTCTGATGCTTAGTAAGCAAGAAAGTCCTGCTGTATGTTTGCAATAAACAGGCTGCCTATTAGACATAAATATCCTACTCCTCAGATTCTCAAAATTAGCTGCTGCAATTTAACTGACAAAATTTTGTGTTTCAGTGAGAGGGTTTGAGCATGCTGTTTGGACACTTGCAGGTATGTGTCTGAAGGGCAGACTCGGGCTTAATTTAGTAGGTTAACTCAAGTTCATCAAAATATGGAAACAGCCCATTTAATATTTCAAATTCTGAAAGATCTACACATCAGTTCCAACTAACTGAATAGGATGAATGTATTGCTTGAATCAAGTATCTGTCCTGTGTTTTTATTTCCTTGTTTTAGTGGCTCACCAAAAATCTTTAATGAAACACGTTTTTAGAACTGTTGCTGGCTAGGGTAGACAATGAGGGAAAACCTGAGGCTGTCCCTAAGTATTCCTGCAACATTCTAACCAGCTTGAATGAGACCACCATGATACTTAGGAAACTTCTTCATTATATCACTTTTTAGTTCACAGTTTTGCACTGAATTGTTGTGTTCTCATTGTAGCTTCTTGTAGACATCATTTAAAGAAGATTAGGAGCAAGAAAAATGCATCATTAATGTATTTCCAAGTTTTCTGTTGCACCTCTTTGCTCACATTTCTATTGTCCACATTTGCTGTCCCATTTTCTGAGACAATCTTTCAGATTCCTATGGTACTCAACATCATCATTTTAAAGAGTCATTAGAAACCTTTATTTTGTTTGGGTTTACATTTTCTTTTTCTTCCCCCTTCACCTGACCACCTGAGATCAAAGGAGGGTCTCTGTTGTGAAGACTAAAATCATGTTTCAGGCACTGTTATCTTCAATAATGGCAAATGAATAAAAACATCTGAGAAGATACATTAATGTTTTGAAATGTTCCTTTCCCAATGTGAAATCACTTTGTATAGAGAATTCACATCTGATACTGTCTTGTTTGTTTGCCCTCCTTTGAAATGAGGCTTCATATTGATGCGTGTGTTTCAATTCAGCTAAGACTTGCCCTGAAGAACCATCCATAGTACTGTCTTTCTCAGTAAGTATGGATCTCATGCTATGTGCAGTGCCTGACTGAGGAACCAACTGTATGGTTCAGTAGTGGTGCAGTAACAGTATACTTCCAAAAAAGAAAAGAAAATTAAGAAACAAAGCCTCCAGCAACACCTTTTTACAATAGGAAATATTCACTGATTGTCGCCATGTTTGATTAAACACCACCTTATGAAAAATATGCTTTGATTATTTGGCCTGTGTTCAGTAAGTCTCTAATTACCAGTAGAAATATAAGACCACGTCCTTGCGTATTTAGCAATCTGTATTGTTTTCTGAAAGGACTCAGGCTCTTTAAGAATAGATTAGTTTAGATCATTCTCACGTTAATGCAAAAATAATCAAAGTAGTCATTTTGACTTCTGGGCATTGCAATGTACCAGTTCATGGTTATATTGCCTCATCTGCAGAAGCAAGCAGCAGCTGGGTGGGATAAGATTGTAGCACGTGGCTTGTAGGTTTCAAAATGTTTGGGAAAAAAAACGACAAAAAAAGCCTAACCCCAAACAACAACAAACCTAACAAAACCACCCTTTTCTGCAGTGGCATTAAACTACAGTTAGGGGAGACCATCTTTTCCATAATCTTGTAGGCAAGAAGGTGATAGCCTTCAGCTTTACTGTAAGCAGTCATTCCAGGAGCAGGTTTTTACTCATATTTAGCACATTTAGTGTTCAATTTGAAAAAAAATTGGAGTTCAGAAGGGAATACTCACAGTAATCCACGACAGCGTGGTCTCACGGTATTGTGAAATTCAACTGTGCTGGGTTTTATCATTCTCTGGTAGCAAATCAGGCTCATTGCAAGTAAGTGTAGTGCCAAAGGGCTAGTGCTAACTACTTCTGGCACTTGAGTGCGAGTTAGCCCTTCCACCCCTTCCTGTACCTGAGCTGAACATGGCTGTGCTGTAGCAGGGCTCGCAGGAGTGACTGTGTGCCAGCTCACAGCCCAGCATGGTAACTTCAGGTCACTGTAAATACTGGTGTAATTGGATACATGAAGCAACAAACTGCAATGGACAAAAGTCTGGCACACGTTGATTCTGCCAGCCTTCTGCAATATGGTGACTTTCAGCACAGACACACTGTGACCAGCTGGGAGCAGTAATTACTTGTCTTGAAAGACTGCTTTTAAAAAGAATGTTTAACATTACAGTAATACATACAATCCACTTTTTTTAGAAATTAAGTTGATACCCATTGTGACCACTCACCCTTAAGGGGCAGGATCAAACAGTGGAGACAACAGTCAGATATTTCCATGCACAATGGTGAGTATATGCAGCACATCTAGGGTACATTTAGACTTGTCTCATTTCAAGGTCTGTATGGCTTCTCTTAAAGACTTTGGGGAGGAGGATATACTGGTGTGTCTTTTGTCAGTGATTATTGGAATAGAAAATCCATAATCTGTCTAATTAAAATAAGAAAAAAACATTGTTCAGGGAAAATCGGATGCTGTCTCCAGTATTATGCATTC